GGATCCGGTTACATTCATACAAAACAAAACTACTTGATCATGCACATAAATGACAGATAGTTGTTCGTTCTAATTCTATCCTTATCGTCTTGATTCCATTAGAAAGACAAAATATCCTATGGCTTAATCTTATTTCGATTTTTGTTGCTGGAATACATATATACATAGATATACCAATGTATGCTATTTTAGGCGATGTTCTCTGTTTTTTTCTTTTTTTTTTTCCCTAACTAAATGACGGGTATCTATCGTCGTTCGCGCTAGAACATCATTTGACAAAAGAGTTTTGTTGTGCGACAGTAGCAAGACTTGCATTCGGATAAATATAATTGCGCTTTTTCTTTGCTAACTCATGTCTACAATGATATACTACGGAAAGAAGACAATAACTAACTATTGCCTTGGTCGTGCATCTCATCTTCCCGTCTAAAAAAAAGACACAATAATAACAGAAGAACGTCAAATGACAAATAAAAAAAGACAAACAAAAGGAGAGACTGGTATGCAGATCGTTTTCTATTATCAATATCAGCAGCATATATTTAATCATCGTTATGAATAGTTTATTAATACTATCATTAAAGCGAAATAGATAGGAATGTAATCACATTTTTTTTCTCACTGATCTTGAGCGACCTCTAATATTATGCTATATATATTGAATTTAATTTGATTAATTAAAATAATAATCAAATGGTTGAAAGTTTAATTGAAAAAATTTCAATTTTTTTTGTGTTTATACACTAATGATAAAAACGTGCATAAATAGTTGCTAAGAAACAATAATTAATCAAAAGTAGCAAATGGTATTCCGTTCTATCATCATTAAATAGAACATATTCTTCCGTTTTTTGTTCCAAAACAATCACAAGTAGGTACTAATTTACCAAAATAATGAATTATTTTTTTTTCCGGTTTATTCGAAAATATAAAGTTTCTCATGGCAATAAAACCAATGTCGAAATAAAAATAGTTTACATTTAAATGATTAACAACTTATCTCATATTCAAATATAGTATTAGTACAGGAGACATTCTAAAATAAGATATTTTAGACAAAAAAAGAATCATGAACGGTAATGCTAATCGTATACAAGCTGAAGGTGTTATTAAAAATATAATTCGAGAAATTGTTCAAGAATGTGCATCTCGTGGAGAAGGTTCGATATCAAAATTTCCAACATAATCTTCTATATATTGAAATAATTTTAGGTGTATCCGAAACTTTAGTAGCATTTATTGTTAAAGCTGTTGTACTTGAACCACAAAATGATTTTCAAGTTGATCGTGTTCTTGCATCAGACGATGTTCAACGTCTTATTGATTTATGTGTTAAACGTTTACTTAATAACAAATCCATAGCACTTGATACTGTTAAAATGCAAGTCTATTTCGATATGAATTATACAACACGTGACGAATTTTTAACTGAACATCGACGTGTACTTGGTAAAGGAAATATATATTCGCAACTTTATTCCTTTTGTTTTAAATATAGAAACTCGCCTTCAACCAATATCTCGTGAAATAACCGATAATCGAGCAACAACTAAAGATGAACTTGAAGCACTTTATCGAAAAATAGTCTCAAGTGTATTACTTCGATCTGGACTTGGTTCACCAACAGGTTGAATTTCTTATTATTTTCTATAAGAAAAAAAACTAATTTAAATATATTCATTTTCTAGATATTTCAGTTGTACGCGAAGCCACAGCTGCCTTACAAAGTGTTTTTCCACAAACTGAATTAGGAAATTTTTTAAATTTATCAAAACGAGATAAAGATCGACAATTAATTGAATTAACACAAATTGTTACTGGTATTCGTTTATTTAATAAAGAATGTGGTAAAGGTGGCGAAGGAATTGATAATTTACCAAGTAAATAAAATAAAATTTAAACCTTTTTTTTTTCTTTCTATTTTACTTTTTTTTTAAAGCTATATTAAATGAAGCTATACCAGCAACTTTAAAAGAAATTCAACAACAAACAGATGATGCTGTAGATTCAAGCGAGAAATTTATTGCTGTATTAGATACAATGACAACATTATCACAAAAACAATTAGGTAGTGATGCAACTAAACAAAAAATTCAAGAAGCAATGATTAATTCTCGACAATTTGAACTTTATCTTAATACACTTTCAAATGATGCACGACAAAGTGCACGTGAAGTAGATGAATTATTATCACAATTTAAAACACGTTTAGATCAACTTAAAACAACTATACAAAATCGAACAGCGTTAGTAATATAAATATCTTAAAATCTTTAATTGCCTTCGTCAATATTCTATAAACTAGCAAAAGAACGGAGAGAGAAGTCTTGTTAAGTAAAAAATATGATGTCACGGAGAATATTTTCATAGAGAACCTTATTATTTTACTGTACTGCGCGTTTCCTATTGAAGAATTTTTCATTAGTGATACACCAAAAAAGTTCTTATCGGCATATTTATATATATTCGATATTCTTCATGAATAATTCTTTTATATAAATTCTAGAGTACCTACAGCACAAGTGTATCCTCAATTTATGCACTTAGCTGTTATATGGTTTGGTTTTCAAGATGAAATGGTCTTACTCAGTGTACTTTCGAATATATGTAATGAAAATTTATTAGAATTATATCGCTTTTATTTGTTGTTTTTTCTTCAAAATTTCTTTTAGTATACAGTCTTGAACCCTATACACTTAATACTAAAGATTTATTATCTGATGAATCCGTAAGAAAATATTTATCGAAAGTATCAATTGTAACTGATCAACAACGTTTACAAGTTAATAATAATGGTAATGTTGTACAACCAGAAGAACGAAATGCGGAAGGAACTTGGTATTATTCTGAAACAACAAAAAATTTTGATAAATTACCATTAATGTATAAAGGTAATAAAACAGTAAGCTGATCAAAGACAAGACAAAAAAATATTGAGACTATCTTTTCAGATTTTACTTATTGGAAAGTTTATGTATAGTAATACATTATCTTTATTTTTTAGGTTTTTGTGCGTATCATTTAGCTTTAAATGATTTTAAATTAATTCATGGTGATCCACGTATTGGTATTGTACAAATAAATGATCATTTCTATTCCTTTAGTGAACCGAAAGATGCGATTTTATTTTGTCGAAAACCTGCAACATATATTGAATCAATTGCAAATAATGCCAAATTAAATGCTGAACTTATTCAATTACTTGATTTACATACACATTTTTCAAATGTTGCACCCTATGGTGATTTAACACAATCATCATCTAAACCACATTTAAAAGCTGATTGTGGTTCACAAACTGATACACATTTTCATGAGAAAAATATTGTTAAAGATTATGAATGGAATGAATGGGAATTAAGACGTAAAGCTATAAAATTAGCTAATTTAAGACGACGTTTAACAAAATCTATACAAACAAATACAAGTAATTTTCGACGAGAAAATACTACACAAGTTTATTTACCAAAAGATCAATATATACAAACAAAACGTGATAATTATACAAATGTACCACAACCAAAAGTTTATTTAAGTGGTATTCGTGGACATCAACGACATGATGATGGACATTTTCTACCAGCAAATGTTCAAAAAATTGATCTTACACGTGATATTGATGAATAAAGATGATTGATGAACTGAGAGTTTCTTTTCTTTTTTACAAATAAACATTTATATCATAAAAGTAAAAACGAAGGAGAATTATTTTTACAAAAAAAAAATAAAATTTATAAATAGATGGTTAGATAATGAAAATATTTTATTTTACGATCTACAAAAAGTTGAGAAAGTTTTTTGTTTGATTAACATTAATGAATTACTTATAGATTAAAAATAGAATAGAAAAGACTTAATCTTATATTTCTATTATGAAGTTAATAAGCTTAAATCATAGAGGAATTACTCTAGATTTATTTCTTTGTTATTGAATTTTCTCATAAAAGTGAAGTGAGGAAATGAAAGTTATTATTTCCGTTACTCTAATAATACTACTTTATATGATTATATATTCAATACAAAATAACGAAAGAAGATCATGTCGTGAATGACTTTGATAATTACTAGAAGTACTTAAAAATAAAAGTACAATTACATGTTCTACTAATATATTTTTGCATTTCCTCTTTATTCAACCATTTTCATTTTATCTATTATTTACGTCTTATGTGTATACTATTCTTCTATTATCATATATTAATAACATAGACTGGCTTTGAGCTTAATTATAATTGAATTGAACGTCTCATATACAGTGTTTCTAATAGCAAGTGTACCAAACATAATAAATATGTACAGAAGAACATTTGCTCCTCTCAAAATACACGCTGCGGTACACTTTGTTTAATAAAATAACACTTAGCTTCTAACTCTAAGAATTTTCAAGAATAATGTGAATTTCAAAAGTTATGTCTAAACAATGAAACATTATGACCTCTCTTATAATACAAGCTATCATTCGGCTTCTATGATATCTTCTCCATCTGATGCAGTTCATTTATGTATATGGATCGGCCCTCTGATCGACAGGGGTTTAAAAAGAGTTGTTCTCGAAATTTTTCTTCTACAATCACAACATATCCCGCCATGCATATCTGAGATAGAACAACTTCTACTATGTAGTATTCCAAATCCGCCTGTTTTGTTACAATTCCCGCTGCAGAATGATTAAATTTAAGCACCTTTCGTATCCGATCCTCTCTCCACTTTTCCTTGTATATGCAACAGTGTCATAAACGGTTTGGTGCTCATACACCCCAAATTTACGATAGATGGCTCTAGTATACAACCTACATAAAACTATATTACAAATAATTAAATGGTCTAATTATAATTGTATAAAATTTAATCAAGAAAAAAATATTTTCAAAATAATCATTATAATTTGACACTCCATTATGATTTGTGTTTGAAACACAACGAATTATCAATCGTCATTTGTTCTTCATTCATACAAATAAATAAATAGTTAGTTTCATTCAAAACAATAAAACATAAATATGAGCGATCACGGCGATAACAACCGAGATGATGATGAACCTCACGTTCGATCATCTCGTGAAAGACGAAATAGTCATAATGAAGATAGTAGTAGTAGTTCCCATCGTTGTAAGTTTAGATAATATTTGGAAGAAAAAACAATCACATTTATTTATCTATTAAATCTAGCACCTAGCAAACCTCATAAAAAATCAAGTTCAAAGGATTTGTCATCTATTGGTAAAAAAGTTGCTGAAAAAAGTGGTGGTCTTTTTTCGCCTGAAGACTGGATGTGTAAAAGGTTAATATTTTTACTGCAATATTTTTATTTTAAATGGATTTGCTTTGTTTTTAGTTGTGGAAATATCAATTGGGCACGTCGATCAACTTGTAATATGTGTAATATGCCTAAATTTCAAAAAGCTGAAGCACGAACTGGTATGAAATTGATTTTTATAAGAAAAAAAACTTAAATTTAAAATTTAAAGGTGCTGGTGGTGGATATAATGAACGTGATAATGTTCAATATAATGAAAAAAATCAAGAATCTGATGGCGAATATGATGAAGTAAATAATTTTATATTTGATATATAAGTATTCTTAAGTATTTTTATTTTAGTTTGGACGTAAGAAAAAGAAATTTCGTAATACAACAAGAGATTCTGATGATGATGAGGAAAATTCTAATGGTAAAAAAACAAAGTATAAGTCATTCGAAGTCTCGATCGTTGGGAGAGGTAATACTCGTACAGTGAGTATTTAGAAATTCTTTAATGCTACTCATCTACGAATGTACCATACTAAAATATACGTTTTTTTCTTAGGAAAATGATGGGGAAGACGAGGAGGAAGAAGATGACGACGATGATGATGATGATGGTTTTGATGCTAAAAAGGTTTAAATATAAAAGATTTTAATGAAAAATTAATCTTAAAAATATAATTTGTTTTGTAGTATGCATTAGATAGCGATGATAATGATGAAGACGATACTAAAAATCATCATCAAGCAAGTTCATCAAGTAGTAATAAAAAATCATCTACTAGTCGTGAAAGACAATATTCGTAAGTAATTCATATTTATTTTATTTTGTAAATTAATATCATAATTTTAGACGTTCACGTTCAAATTCATCAGAAAGTCGAAAATCGAATGATAAAAAATCGTAAATACTTTTCTCAAAACTATTTCTTTTTTACATTTATCTGAAATTATTTAGTAGTCGATATGATAAGGCATCTTCGTCAAATAATCGTAAACGTTCAAATTCACCACGTAGTTCAAGACGAACTGATGATTATTATGAACGACGACGATCAAGGTAGTTTCAAAATGAAATTCAATAGAAAAATGATTATTATTTTTTTTTATTGTAATAGATCTCGTTCACCTGTTAGTTCATCTAGTCGAAATTACCAAAAAAAGTTATCGTCGTTAATCAAAATATTGATTATATCATATATTGAATTTTGTATTCAACATAGAAAAATTTTTAAGAAAAATGTATCTTATGTAAACAATAAATATAAGGCAGAAAAAAAAGTCATGTGAAATAAAAATAAGATAACAATAGAATGAAGAATTATTGAAAATATGTGTACTTATGATTTTCAATAAAAGCTTAATTTTCGATATTCAATTATTTCTTTCATTTAAGCAAAATGTTATCTACCACATGATAGTATATCTAACTTATATAAAGATACGAAAAGAAAACAGACGAGAACTAATTGCTTTTAGTAATTTGATCTTCTATAAAATAATCAGTGACAAGGACATCATTTTTAGTCAAGCAGACTATCTGAAGTCCGATTTGTCATTCAAACTATTCTTAGCATATATAATACGATAAAGAGTAAAATTATTTGCTTTTAACAGTACATTTGATTGAATTGAATATAATGATTATATTGCGTAAGAATTTTACTTTTAGTTCAACTGTCATTCATTATTTTAATGTGAAAACTGAACCATTATTATTATTAAATTGATTGGAAGAGTATACTACTACTTTTTACAATTAAGTCAAAAGACATATGAATATTTATTTACGAGTTTTGTACAATTTGTTTGAAAAAAAAAAGTTCACATTCTTCTTTTGTCTTTAATATCTCATTTAATAATCATTTCCATTTGTGTTAATTGCCGTTAGCGACTACCCGGTGTTTCTATTCTGTACAGAAAAAAAAAACGTTGACAGGAAATGAACGTATATGTACGACTTCATAAACGGTATTGACTATACAAGCAATTACTTAGTCGAGACTAATCTTCTCGTTTGATAGACAAGAAGAAAAAAAGAAAAAAAGTTCAATGTCGAATAAACTAAAAAGCCTTTTGTCATTCAATCTAATGAAACATTCCGGTGTTCATGTGACTGACATCGAGTATGAACTCAGCAAGATATAAATAATTTCTTCACTTTTTGTTCTATATATAGATAGATAAAAAATGTCGAACACAAATATGGATTACATAAGATTGAATATCATTGATGTTCATTTTCACTCATTTGTCGACTGCTGAGCTGTCAGAAGACGAAGAATTATGATTTGTATATATACATATGATATATAAGCAAGCAAGTGTGAAGTATATTGATATGATGAAAAAAAAAAAGAAAATATATATACATATGAAACAAGTAAAAGTATTATAAACGATTCTCTTGTATAAGTTGTTGAACATTTAATTGTACATAAAGCAAGTGGCTCATAATTTTCAATCGCTAGACAAACACTTATATATGTATATATACAATACCAAAAAAAAAGAGAGGAAAAGAAAATCTTTTCCCTATTTTGTCCTTCATTGATGGGTATGTGTTCATAACATCTGTTGCACCACCCGTGAGCGAGTTATGTCGTAATTAGAACTGACTAAGCTATATATCAGTATGAAAGATAAACGATGGTAATATTAACGAATGCAAGCGATTCTGTGAAAACACATCATTAACGTCATGTATCTGACATTGCTCGATATGCTATAGCATAAAAAAAAATGAATGAACTATCATGATGTGTAAAGGATGAAACTAACAGACACAATTGAACAAACAGTCGCAATAACAATTATGGCGTTACCATCATTGCTACTGCTGCGAATGTTTTTACAAGCATTATTCAGTAGTTTTTTTTTTGATGGACAAAAGACATTGATCACAATTCCTTTCTCTCTTTATATATATATATATCAATATACATTCTGATGTTTGCATCATTATGTGAAGGCATTCATGTCATTGTCTTAAATTTACAAATGAAGACATATGCATACTATCAGATAAAAATCAAGGTATTCACTTGCATTATAAAGACAAAAAGAGAAAATGTGCTCATACATGAGCATATGAAAATTACATTGATTTTTTTTTTATTTCATATTCTTGCATCATACATGGTCTGACCAGCAATTATCCTTGTTGAAGATTTCTTTTTTTCTTCTTTCTCTTGTCTGTTTTACGTAATCATCTCAAGAGGAATTGTCATAGAGAGATCGATACTCTTTGGTGTATGTCTCTTTTTCAAGTGCCAATTGCTACGATTTGATGCATTGAACAATTTCTATGAACGATGATAATCGTTGTTCTCAATCATACAATCTATCTGTTGTATGTCCACTCTTGAAACAATTCAATTGATGATCACAAGTTACTTATACATAATAATAATAATAATAATAAAAAGAAATACAAAATAAACAATATACAGACATAAGTCTACATTACACACTCAAATGACCATATAGTCTGGTATCTCTTCGTTTCATACAGGTATGATTTTATTCTCATGCTTGTTACATTGATTGTATTATGCCAATCATCGTCTACTTATTTAACATTTATAAATACAAATATGAATACATATATATTTATATATAAATACACGTAGACATTCATTCTATTTTAAAAAAATTGACTATGTCCTTCATAGAGCACTTAGTGGTGACTCGTGTGAGTGCACTCTCATTTTCTTTTTTTTGTTCATATTCGGTTTCCGTTTGAAGATGAATCAAATGAACGAAGGCAAAAAAAACGGAGGAACAAAAAAAAACAGTAAAGTTAAAGGTAAGGTAAGTTTAATAATAAGAGTAGTTGACAAAAAAATGCAACAGGATGTAATCAGTCGGCCATTAGATCTAGCTAGTAGAATAGCTTATTTTTTCAAGACACCGGTCAGTTAGTTATAGTGTACACGTCCTTCCTCTTTTCTCTCTTCTTATCAGAAAAAGAAGGGGAAAAAAAAGCTCAACGAGAATAGTTTTTCTTCTTTTTCTCCTCCTTCTCCTTCACGATGGTACCACTATGAGACTAAGTGTTAATTCTCTTCTCTTATACTTATTGCGCGTTTTCTCCTTCTCTCTCGTCTCTCTGTCTCTCTGCCTCTCTCTTCTGTCTATATGTATGCATGTTCAATATGTCGTATATTAATGAGGAAATCCTTCTTCTTTTGCTATTACAGATTGTTCCTGTTCACATACAAACAGTAGTCCAGCATGACAATTATATTTGTACGTTTATATTAGCCAAGTAATCATCTATACAAAATGTTACCAATTTTATTTTTTATTAATATTATTTATTTGGTATCTGGTAAACCAAAAGATTCTATACATATTATGGAAGATTTACCCATTGGTACATCCATATATACATTTTCAACTGATGGTTGTAAAACAGCAAATAATGCTGGTACATATCGTTTTGTTGATAGTCAAAAAAAATTCCAATGATTTTTTTCTTATTGATCCATATACGGGACGTGTAACAACAAAAAAATTAATTGACCGAGATGATTTTTGTCTTCGTCATGTATGTTCATGTTCAAAATGTGCAATAACACTTGAAGTTTTATGTGTGAATATGGGACAAATATATTTTAATGATTTATCTATTATAATTGATGATCGCAATGATCATTCACCACAATTTCCTAAAACAGCAATCGTTATTGATGTTTTAGAAAATGTACCTATTGGCTATTTAATTCCAATTGATATAGCTATTGATATTGATTATGGAAATAATTCTATACAAGGTTATCATCTTTTAGAAGATAATTCAACAAATAGAATTCTTAAAGCATTTCAAATTGAATATTCAAAGAAAAACGATTTACTTGCATTACGTCTTATTAAAATACTTGATCGAGAATTATATGATTCATTAGAATATGTTATACAAGCCTATGATGGTGGACAACCACAAGCACTTATAGGTCGTTTAAATATTCATATAAATATTCTTGATGTTAATGATATGTCACCAGCATTTGACCATTCAGATATTCATGTACTTTTAAGTGAATCAATATCAACTGGTTCACTTGTTGCACGTGTACATGCATTAGATGGTGATACTGGTCTCAATGGTCTAATTGATTATACAATTGTTTCATTAGATCCACCATCAAATGGAACATTTCTATTATCAAAAGATACAGGTGAAATACGTCTTGGTAAACATCTTGATTATGAAAAAGAAAAATCCTATCGAATTAAAATAAAAGCACAAGATAATGGACCACAACAAGGTTCAGTACCAGCATTTGCTATGGTCTATGTTGATGTCAAAGATGAAAATGATAATTATCCATTGATTGCACCTACATTCAATGATGATAAAATTGCAGGTGTTGGACATGTAATAAATAGTAGTATTATTAAAATTCGTGAAAATACTCCAAACGGAACATTTCTCGTAAGTAATCTTATCTGACTATGCGTGATTAAAACAAAAAGAGTCTTTCGTTTTTTGACACCTTTAACCTTGATTTAAGGCTAATCTTTTTTCATACGTTTGTAATTCCCAATAGAAACATTTTTATATGCATGTTTGCATGAATTATTTTCAACCCTAAAGGTTTTAAAGATTTATTTAAAAAAAAAAGAAAAAGAAAGAATTAATTACAACAATCTTTTGTCTTTTTAATAGGGTCATGTCTCAATTAGTGATCTTGATCAAGGTAATAACGGTCGTATAAGTTGGTCACTTGAGAGTAATGAATCGATTTCTATACAAAAATTATTTAATAACGAAGCTTTTCTCATGTTTACATCAAGAATATTTGATCGTGAAGAACAATCACAATATAATATCTATCTTACAGCACATGATCATGGTATACCATCATTATCCAATACATTAAATTTTACATTAATTATTTTGGATGAAAATGATAATTCACCTAAATTTGATAAAGATTTTTATTCAATAAATATAACAGAAACAACACCTATAAATACAACAATTTTATATTTTCATGCAATAGATAATGATGAAAATAATACATTAAATAGTCAAATTGAATATCATATAAGTAATCAAACAATATTCTCATTAAATTCAACAACAGGTGAATTATATTTAATTAGTACACTTGATCGAGAAGAAACATCAACATATGAATTTGATATAACTGCATTCGATCATGGTCAACCTCAACCTTTATCATCAACAGTTCGTTGTTTTATTAATATAATTGATATAAATGATAATTATCCAATATTTGATCTATCAGAATATGTATTTGAAATACCAGAAACATGGTCTAATCTTTCACCAATCGGTCATGTTCATGCAATAGATGCTGACGAATATTATAGTGAATTATCTTATACATTAGTAAATAATGAGACAACAATGACTGATGAATGGCCATTTGAATTGACATCAAATGGAACATTATATCTAAAAGCAACATCTGTTGGTAAACATATATTTCATAAGAATGACAAATAGATAAATTTATTTATTCTTCTCTAGGAATTGATTATGAACAACGTTCAATTTATCAATTTTTAATTATAGCTAGTGATCATGATGGTCTTAATACAAGTGTACCTGTTATTATTAAAATATTAAATCGAAATGATTTTTGTCCGGAATTAATTAATAATTCGACAGTTTTATTTTTTAATAATGATCTTTGGTCGAATAATTCAAGTGAAAAATTGAATCAATTTTATTTAGATTTATATGATGGTGATAATGATACATGTTTAATAGAATTACTTAATTTTAAGGATATATTTCATATTGAACGAATTGATTATAATGAATTTTTATTATATGCACATATATTACCTGAACGTGAATATTATGTGCTTCAATTTCGTCTTCGTGATCTTATTAATGAAACAATTGATCAATCATGTATTCGATATATTGAATTAGTTTTAACAACAGGTACAAATGAAACAAATCAAACTGTTGCTATAGATACAGCACGTGAATATTTAGATGCACTTCATTTTATATCTCAACATAAACATTCATATTTTGATTTAACATTACTTAATGTTATACTTATTTTTATTTTATTATCAATTGGTATTATTGTTGGATTAATTTCAATAAAATTAATTTATCTTTCATCAAATTCTCGTCATAGAAAAAAATTACGAAATCATCATAGACATGATACAAATTTACTTTATCGTCTTCAAAGTCCAACTGAAACACAATTACCGTTACTTGCAAATGGTCCTGGTGAACAATCATTGACATCATCATTGATTATGACTGGTAATAACAGATTAATTCACGATGAAAATATTAATCATTCTATTGATGGTGATGATGAACAACAACAGGTAAAAAAAAACAATGAGTAGAAAAGAACAGATGATGCATGTATAAATTTATATGAATAGTTTATTCTCCTATGCTACTTTGCTTTCTCTATTGACGATTGTTCAACGATGCATTGACTCATACCCAATGTCATCGTTACTATTGATGACAGCATGGTAACGAGCACATTTTTTAATTAAAAAAACTGTCTTTTAAATAGCGTCTTTTTCCATTTAATAAGAAATGTCAAATGATAACGAAGCGAATATGATGAGAAAAAAGAAATAAAATAAAAAAAAACTGCTCTCTAGTTTCTCAAGTGTGAACGAGCAATAGAAAAGAAAGAAAGAATGTACAACATAAATTCAATTATCTATTTAATGTCATCAAAAAGTTCGTGTCTCGTTTTTGGCAGCTAGAATAATTAAATTTACATGTAATCGCAACAAATATCTATTCAGTAGAAACTCCTAAGAAGATAGATTTCTTTTATAATATATATATATATAGCATCGTCTCTATATGTCATCAATCGATTAAGTCGTTTAAATGCCGGAGGATATTGATGTATATATGATAATTAAACACTTATTTATTTTTAGCGATTATTATGTCAAATAAATCCAAATTGTTCATCAATAAAAAAACATTCAAATGAATTTAAAACATTTGCATTAAGATCTAATAATAATGCATATGATATAATTGGAGATATTATTCATTCCAGTGCATCTCCATCATCTTCATCTTATCCTCATAATCTTAGTAATGATTATGAATCAACGTCATTAAATATAGATCAACAACGTTTTCTTCCATTCACAAATCCATCGAATGTTAATCTTTCATCTGATGGTCAACTAATGACTGTAACTTATTTTTCATCATCATCAACATCAACACAACCTGATTCGTCATTATCATCGTTAAATACAACAACGCGAACTTTAAAAACATTTTCATCGATTTCTACAGCAAATGAATCATCATCAATGATGAGACCACGACTTGCTGAACAAGAAGTTATTGAAGTTTAATTTTTATTATTATGTATTATTGTTGTGTGTTTCTGTATTTTCTTTCTCTACATATATATATATATATATCTTTATTTGAATGTATATAAATATCTAATGATGGATATGATCTTTCAAGTAAATCATATTCATAATTCAAAAAAAGATACTCCACTAAATCCACTACCTAAAGAAAACTATGAAAATTATTTTCTATTCAAAATATATCTCTATAAAATTTTACCTAAACACGTTTTTCCTTAGATAATAATAATAATAAAAGCAATAGATATGCAATCAATTTCAAGCATTCTTGGTTGATATTATGTATATGATTAGTTAATTATATATAATTCAAAGATAGTCTAAAGAGGAAACTAAATCTATCATCAAATCGTACTAAACGAGATAAAGACCATCAACGCCTATAGATATTATGAAAAATAGATACAAAATAATTCACTAATCATAGTACATAAAATATTCTTAACCCTTTCTTTCCCAATGGCACCTAAACAAGTTTCGTTTGCTTAATCTACAAGGAATATATTAACTATTTTTTCTACCAAACTAAGGCACATCTATCGCAGATTTTATATCAATAATTTGAGCATTGCACTCTTCATAAAACTTTGTATCTGTGGCTCAGACAAATGTACTATGCTATGCTATACGATGGAGCTGTACTATAAACGAGTCTTAACGCATCACTCACACCCCCACCCACACAATGATGGACTAATTTCGGTTTCAGATCTTAAACTTTAGCCATGGGAAAGAAAGGGTTAAGTTAACTATAATAAAATTTAAGAAATATTTTTTTTATTAGAATAATTTAAAAAAAAATGAACTATCTGTTTGTTTAATTATTGTTTTATATTATTGATAAGTATCTGATTTTGATTCAGAAGTGTATTCCATACTTCAAAATATTCTGATACTGAATGAGTTGTACTAGATTTTGATGATAATGATGATGAGATTGTTGTACAAAATAATAATTTTGGATTTGTTTCAAATGCTTCATTACATGCACCATTACCTGTTTCATATCGAAAATATTCTGTTGATTTTGCTAAATTTTTTATTTCAATATGTGCAGCTTCTCGAAGAATACCCGTAATAAATGGATCACCTGGATACATAATATTATTGACTTTATTCATAAAATCAAGCATATGATCACAAGCTTCTGATGTGATGATATATAATGAATTCATTGCATAATTTAAATCAATAGTTAATGGTGGTATAGCAGCATTAATAAATTTTTGATAACTACCTCTATCAACAGAATGTTCTCGAGCAAACCAACCAACAATTAAACTTTTTTTCATATAAGGTTCTATTGTTGGTAATAATTTATTTATAACAGCATTTATATTCATAATAATATCATCTTCACTTTTAATATAATATGGAGCATTTGGTAAATATTTTCGTACCCATAACATTGCAGAAAATTCTTTATATGCAACAAATGAAGATAGATCAGATACAGAAACTTGAATAACATCATCAAAAAGAATTTGTTCGGATTGAATACGTTTTAGTAATGAATCATCGATACCAACAAGAAAAAAAACTTTATATTGTATTGTTGTATTTGCATATAATCGATCAGTACCCCATGTTCGTCGTATAGCATCACGTATTTCAATATTTGATGCTTTAGATAAGACTATAATAGGTATAATGAGAGGTAATTCAGGTGATAAATCTAAATAAGGTGAATTGGTAAATTTAAATGATGATAAAAAATCTGTTGATTTATCTTCTGCGGATTGTAATAGAGGTGCAAGAGTTCTTTGCTTTAATGTTTCATTCGATTTTGATATATTTTTTTTAGATACTTGTTTTCGAATATTTACATGATCAGAATGTGATGAAAATATAAATTTCTTAACAATAAAAACTAAGATTAACGATGTGACAAATGAAATAAATAATGTTTTCAAACGACGACGACCATAGTAGCCTACGAACATATTAGTGTATCTTGCACACGTGAATACGTATATTATGATTAATGTTTTGCTTCATTGCACATTTCTTTTTCGTCATGTTCTACGCCTCTCCATACGTTATGTACTCTTAGCAATAAAATTCAATACTATCGCATTCATTTTTTCTGCTGTTAAACTTTTGTAAATAAGACAGGATTGCGACTATGTCTTATTTTTATATAGTGGTACTGTATGTTCCAGATATTTCAACATAATCATCAATATTGATCGTAAATGATTTTTTGACCTTTAAAGAATTTATAGTTCATTGATGATTTACTTACGAAATATAAGAGTAAAAACAAAAAGATTTAAATGTCATATCAGTTTCTATTTAACTCGTTCATATTTCTAATAAAAATCAGTTAGAAATATTTCGAATCATCTCTTAACGCTAATATTATTTGAGCTATTATGAGTACGCAATATTTTTTCTTTGATATTATTATTATATCATTTGAAAAACATCGATTACGATTATTATATTGTAGTTTAATCAGTGTGCATGCTTTGTTATCGTGTTTACATTCCAGTAAGACATATACATATACATATCTATTGATAAAATGTAAGTGTTATGTACTTCAATGAAAGATGGAGATTTTTTTTCTATGATCGTTAAAAAGGAATCTTTTTGATTTTGTTGTCATTAGTAATCATTAGAGATTATGAGTAAACAGTTTATTTAGAATGAGGAGAAAATTTTTTCATTGCTTTTTTTTCTTGAAATAAAAAATGAACGTATTAGCACATATTCATTGAATATCTGATAAGACTTTTAGTACGTATTTATTTCAAAATCAAAAATTTGTATCTATCTTATTGATGAAAATATGTTTTCTCCGGTTTCCATTCACCTCTGTTACATAGGACATATTGATAAGAAATATCATTTGCTGTTTGAATTCTATCGAGAAGAAAATCAGCATACATTAATGTTGTTTGTAATTTAAACATAAGCATTTGTCGAAATACACCACGACATACACGATAAGCCATTGTATTTGTATCAAAATCAAGTTGAACTGTTAAATTTGAAGAAATTGTTCCTAATGGTCGTAAAAACATTTTAGTTCCATAAGATATTTCAGCATCAGGACTAATTGTTATAAGTTGATGTTCAACTGATGTTGTTAAATTAATCAAACGTATTGGTACCCAATTATCTGATTTAATAATTGTATAATGATAAAAATTCATATGAAAATTAGTCGTATTTCTAAATGTATCATTAGTAGCATCGATCACAATAGGATTTTGTAATGATAAATGTACAGAACGTGGAAGAAGAATAGCAATAACAGCGATAGCAATAAGCGTACAAAAAACAATGGTAAGTATAATCCATCGAAATGTATGTCGTCGTTTAAGTCGATCATCATCAACTGGAATTAAAGCAACAAGACCGGATGATTGTAGTACAAAACCTTGTCCTTGACATGTTGGACATTTACGATTATTTGATAAATTTTTATTTTGTGTATTTAAAAGTGGTTCATCATCGTTATCCGATTCTATTGTTGGTGACTCCATCATGCACGTTTCAACTGATTTCTATTTTTTCTCTCTTTCTTTTTCTTTCAACATTTATATGTTCTGTTTATATTATGTGCCTCTTCTTCTTCTTCTTTCCTTTAACAGTGATAAAATATACTTGCCTTTTTTTTTCTTCTTTCTCTTTCGTACTTTTCGTTTATCGATATATATCTACGCCCTTTCTTTTGTAACTACGTATGACTATATGCAGTCTTTTTCTACGATGTCAAGGTTCACAGCTATGCAAGATACATGATGTTGATGACCTAGACGTTGTTTATCTAATTTTGTTTTGGAAGAGATGTTTGAATTGGTTATGATGATTGTAAAACTTTTCTAGTATATATATTTCGTTTGTCTAGTGAAGAGAATGATAGATTTGCATTGTATTTGATTACGTGGTTAGATATATTATTAATGTAATAGACTTGAATTTGAATTTTTGTAGGAATGAAATATATTTTAATTGAAATAAAATATTTGTTAGATGTCGCTTTATTTTAATTGAATAGTAAAAATAATTTGGAAATATTATTTTTTTCAAGAACAGATAAAGCGCATAGAAATATTCATAAATTCAATTCGTTCTTTTTCTAATATTAGAAAAAAATTTTATTTCATTTATCACAAAGAGCTATTCTTTGAATACAAACAAAGAAGAAATTGTATAATATGACATGATTATTTTATTTGAAATTATGTTTATAATTTCATCAGGTAACCATATTTTGATTAAACTTGTATATAAATATGTTTTGACAAATCGTAGTATGTCAATCTTTTGTGCTACTGTTTTTAACTACATAGAATCGTATAGTTAATTCGTATATAAATAATATTTTCTTTAATTGCCAAGGACATAAAATTAGTCACATCGAAATGAGTAATCCTCGGTAGGTGACATTTATCACGATCGGATTCGCTTGACACTAGACCGATAGAATAGACATACAACTATATTTTCAATAGATTCGTTAAGTGTAGTAATAGATAAAACTAAAAACTTATCTTCACAGCTGATATTATATATCAATGTAATCAAAGTAGATTATTTATAAGATGTGAAAAACTTGTTAATCTCAACTATATGTTTATATTATACGAGTAATGGTTTGTCAATCATTTCGAACGATGTTGAAGATAAACAAAAAATCAGTCTAGATGACTTCTCATTTTCAGCTTCTACTCCTTCGACTTAGGAAATAAACATAATAAATTAGTAACATCGTAGTGACGGATATCGCAGCTTGTGAAAGTTTGCTTAACTTACTTCATTTTCGTTAGAATTATAGAATGATTATTTAACAAGTCAATATTGTACTGATAACTTTCTGATAATCGATTATTATATCATGTAGACTACTATTCAATTCACTTGATAATACCAATATTTACCGATAGAATGCAGAGTACTTTATTAGCCTTGAGATAAAAAAATACCGTATAATATCAGTAGAATGTGACCCTCGATAGAATGTATTCTATTTTTTCTTTTCAGATAATAAAAAAAATACAATAAAGAAAACGTGTCCTTGTTTTTCTTTTTAGTATACTCAAAAAGAGAGTACACTACTAGAACCGTTCAGTCGTATACACGATAGTTTTCGAAAGGAGTAGCAGATCGTGATGAAATTTTCTGTACAGTTTAGTTTCATGAATATCTCGGTCGAGTTTTGAAGATACCAGAGTCAGAATTAGACCTCTATCTTCCGATTACAAATATGCTACTTCAACGTTTTCTTGAGTGGAGAACTCGAATCTGAACTCCATTTGTCACGAAATTCCATTGGTTGAGCAATAATCAATAAAAATCAAGTTACGGAAAAAATATTTTTCCTTGAGTAACTCAAGGCTAAGAGTCTAAATCTGAGCAGTATTCGATTTTATATTCTATCAAATGGGTACAGGCAATAGACATCATGCCTATAGAAAAGATTTTCCATTATAATTCTGATACCCAGACATGCTAGGATAACTCACCTGTCTCATACACTTTTTGTAGTACATATAACTCTCGGATAAAATCCAAAATTTCCGCATTTATTTAGAAATATCCTTGGTTATCCCATTCATTCTAGGTTTTAACTTGAGAATCATTTTTCTAATTTCATTTCAATAGATTATAATTTAGCAATGATATATATTCATATGTATATTTTTAGTATTATCAAAGAAGAAATCATTTGGAAAGAACAATATCAATACACAAAACTTATAGATATACAACTTGATCGTTTTCAATCAAAGGCAGATATCATTGCATCCAAAAGATATTATATTATAATAAGGTTAGTCTTCTTGTTTATGTCCTAATTGGTCTACTATGTAATATATTGGTGATCTATAGGGATATGACGATTTTTACAAAGTTCATGAGTATCTAAATTAACCTAATCTTTTTTATAGTTTTCTAAATTCATTTTATTAACAATTGATACGATTAAATCAATTATACAAACACGATCAATTAATTAAATATTTTATTTAAAATCTTGTCTTTAAATTATCTGATATTAATGAGACATAGAATACTTATTTATCAAAATACTTTCTGTAAAAAGCATTGCTGTCCTTCCTTTTACCACATGTACTTATAAATAGACGAATATGAATAACAGATTATACCACATACAAATACATATCTATATATATGTAAACAAAATTTCTCTTTTCTCTTTTAGTATATAAGATAAATAATCTTTCTGGATATTGGCATTATTTTACAAAGAACATGACGAATAATCGTATACGTTGTTTAATAATTTTTATCGTTACTGGTCTTTTAATATTTTTAATTGTCGGTACAATTATTTATCTTGTTCGTCGTAGTGAACATCGAGTAGTTCATCCTGATGCATGTCCTCGACCAAAACAATATCAAACCAATTATGATTATGATTATACAAAGAATAGCAAGGAATTTCGTAATACAGATAGTTCAGTAGATTATTTTCAATTAAGTCTTTCTTGGTCTCCAACATTTTGTGGTGGAAAACAAAATTCACATAATCTATTTCAATGTCAACATGTATTTGGTTTTGTTGTTCATGGATTATGGCCAAGTAAAACTAAAACCGGTAGAGGACAGTCAAATAATATACATCCAAGAAATTGTCGTAATGAACCACCAATACCAGCGGATGTTATTAAAAAATATTTTTGTTTAATGCCTTC